TATGCTATATAGTATTGGTGTTTTAATGTACAATTTAAAGTTGTACCATAACATTAAATGTGTAAGTTTAGGTTGTACCATAAAACAATTTGTACCATTATGTTATGGTACAACTTTACAACTTGAAGTTGTACCATCACATAAAAGTACAAGTTCAAGTTGTACCATAAAAGAATTTGTACAAAAAGTATAGGTACAATCTGAAGTTGTACCATAACGTAAATGTACAATTTTAAGTTGTACCATAAAGGCAAAATCCTATAGCACCAATACTATATAGCATTGTAAAATTTCTCCCTTTTGTACTCAAATGCCAAGTGAACAACTACTGTCACAACAAAAACACTACTAGTATAGTTTATCAGCATTATCAAACCACAACTGGACTCAATCACTACTACATGAATTAGAAAATCACTACGACTACTAGTGAAGCCACTATTGTAACATCAAAATCACTACTACTCGCTTTAAGTAGCATTGGTAAACCACAAGTGGACTTAAACCAATACTGCTGCTAGTGAAGCCATTACTGTAACATCAAAATCACTACTACTCAAGGCTAATTATGTTCTTCTCATGTCCATCCTTGACAAACAATGAAAGGCGCCAACATTTACATTTTCTTTATCCAACTTTTCCTCCATTCAGCCACTGGTCAACATTTGACCTCCTCAAATAGACTAACCCTGCAATTTCCACCTTAATACATCAAACATCAGTGTTAGTTGTAGTCTATCAATCCCCCTTACTATTTGTAGAAAAATCCCTACAGTATATGAAATTGATATATATAGCGAAATAAGAAAGAACTCAACAATGAATTTAAAACACTGCTAAAACCCAAAACCATTACTAACGTCTATAATATTGCTACGACACCAAAGAACTTTACAGGGGGCACACAAGAGTATACTCTGCAAAAATCTATGAAAACATTAATGCCTTCGGCAAAATTAAGAAATCACCAATAATTTTGAGAATCACTACTAATGTAAATCTAAAGTTCACCACTATGTCGTAGAAAAATGAAAACGCTCCGGGGCTCTGCGCAAACAATAGGTGGTGAGAAAGAGACCATATCCAACATCCAAACCAACCTGAATGCCTCCATATAAGAAAATCACTGAATAAAAAAAAATCATATATGCAAACCCAAAACTGAAGACAGGAGACGACATGCAATTGCGCCGAAGAGCAAAACGAGAGTCGAATAAGGTGTAAAAGAACCCTATACCCAGACATACCAAATGAATCAGGTAGCAATTACTCCAACTATGGCATTCGGTAGTGAGAAAGGCGAAGGACGGAATCGAGGGTGTAGCAGGAGAGGGCGACACATAGAGGGATGGCTAGGCGATGACCGTTCCAGTGGTAAAAGCCGCACACGTTTGTTCCCAGGCTGGGATCATGTGTGGTCTTACCAAAAACACCCCTACCACTAAAATCACCATTGGATTGACGAAAATATGAATGGACGGAGATGGGTGGAGTTATCACCGTGTTAACCTATTAGATGGTTAGCAAGTCATCCCATTCCGTTGACACCTCTTTAATTCGAAAGAATCTCGAATGTTGTTGTGGTGCTTGTCTAGTGATAAGATCGGTGGGAAATCTCATGAAGTGTCAAAACAGAAGTTGATCGTACTAACCCGTTTATTAACCTGACTCAACAACCCGCAATCTATCAGACCATTAATTTTATTGACTCGAAACACGATGAACCCGCAACCCGAATAAACCAAACCTGATTGACCCTAGACCCAAACTCATAACCTTATTGGCCAAAAACTTGATTGACCCAAACCTGACTAACCCAAACCCGCCCGATTGACCTGAATAATTACTATATTGTATAATATATAGTCTTTCAAAATAAAAAAATTTCATTCTGAACCTTAGTAAAACCATTTTTTCATTTCATTAAGGGAAGTTCAAAATATGAATTTCACTTGAAATTATGTTTTTTTAATTATAAAAATTAAAATATGAAGTTCACTTGAACATTAATTTCTTTAGTAAAATTAAAAAATAAATAAGAAATATAAAATAAATACAATGCAAATCTTGATAATGAATAATTAATAATTGAGACAATGTATAACATTAATATAGTAATATACATAAAATTATGATTAATTAACTATTCAACAAATTTATCAATTGAATATAAATATATTAAAGTAATCTATTTGATACTTTTATTATTTTAAAAGAGCGGATAAGTTTTGGTGTTTTCAAACTTTTTTGTAAGAGAAAGAAGAGAGTAATGATACTCCAAGTGAGATATTTCAATGTAGACCATGAATTAAACGGAGTTTGGGGTATCATAGATTGATACTATACCCTAACTTCTAATGGATAAATCTCAAACCATGATTATCTAAACCAAAATCCGAAGCTCAATTTAATAGAAAATAATAATTGATCGTTGAGATTGGCAGGAAGTTATCGAAGTACATCTAACGGCTGGATCATCTAGATTATACCAGTCTTTACCATATATATATGATTGTTTGTAACTTTAATTAATAAATTAACTATTAGTTTCAACAACTATTTATTTAAAAAAGTCCACTTAATTTGTTTACTTGTTTTCTATGCTTCTAAATTTGTTGCAACTTCTGCACTACATGATCCTTAATTTACAATAGTGAAGTACATATTTATCCAATTAAGTCGTGTTCGAGTTGCGTTTTATTTTCAAATTGAGGGTTAGCCTTGGTCTGTTAAGTCATACGATTGCAATAGCTCAACAATCTACTAAAATAGAATATTAATTTAGCAATTTGACAAGTTTTTTTTAAAACTTTTATATGTACTTAAAAAAATATATAAGTACATTCATGAGGTAGAAATAAATTTTTGAAAAAATTGCGAAAAAATATTGGAAATTAGTCGAAGTTTTAACGAGTAAAGAGTAAGTAACATACTGCACTTACTCGAACAACCCGTGATCCAACTCGTAACCTGTTCAACCCATAACCCAAATGACCCGCAACCCGATGAACTCGAACCCAATTGACCTGTAATCCAATTAACTCGAAACCCGAATAACCCATAACTTGATTGAACCCAGTGGCGTAGCCAGGATTTCGTTTAAGGTGAGTCCACCTGGAAAAAAATAAATATGATAAAATAGTTTTTTTAATATAATCTTACATTGAAAACTTTTGATAAATTAAATTGCATTAGCAGTCGAAAATATCAAGAATATCACTCTCCATAGATACCAAACAATCATTGATTTAGTTAGTCGTAGTGTTTCAAATGGTTTTCTTTGTTAAGAACCATTAGTATCAATACCTCTAATTGTTGATAGAGGTTTAATAATAAATCTTATACCAACCAATAATTCATGATTTACCTTGTCGTTCGCTTTCAAATTATGTTCTTAAAAAATATTTAGTATCAATAAATCGAGTTGTTGGAAGATTTCAATAATATATTATACCATTTACTACCATGCTCTCTTATAAGAAAGTCAACTTATACAAAATTGATGTTTGCACAAATCTGTATACCGTATGCTTAGGGCCCGTTTAAGAAATGAGGTCGCCAAGATTCAAACACAAATTTTCGCCCAACTATTCTCAATTAAACGCGACCTAGTTTTAAATATCAATTAACTATCATACCTAATTTAACCATTCCCCCGCCCCCTCCCCCGAATGCAGGGGCGGAGCCAGTGCAGCGGCAGGGGGGGCCATGGCCCCCCCCCCCCCCCCCCCCCCCCCGGGAATTTCTAGAACGCGAATAATACTAGGTAGTGGTAGAATCGTGACATGAATCTATTTATAGTGTAGTGGTGGAAGTTGCCAATTCTAACCTAGAGGTTGGCAGTTCGAGTACAATGGGAGCTTATGTGTTATTTTTACTCTACACATTTCAATATCTACGTTTTATTTTTACTCTACACATTTCAATATCTACGTTTTATTTTTACTCTACACATTTCAATATCTACTATCTGTTATTTCAGTTTTGGCTTTTTCAATATCTACTATCTGTTATTTCAGTTTTGGCTTTAGTTCCATTTTACATGAAATCTATACAAATGCTTTATTTTCTTTTGTATTTAATTATTGGATTATCAACTAACCTAGTATGTATGAACTGTGCTATGCGATCTTGCAAGAAAGTGTTACACATTAGATTATTAGTTTTGTTTTGACTCTTCTCGTTTCTATCGTTAGTGGTGAACGGGCTTTTTCTGTCATGCAATTCGTGACTAAACCACGCAACAAATGAGTGATGATTTCTCACTGGTGGTCTTGTTATTTATATTGAACGAGATGTAATCGACCCTTTCCGTATAGGTAGTATTTTGAGTGATGTGATTAATCTCAAAAGACGTCGTGTACGTTTAAAATAATAAATTATATTTGATATTTTCTTATAGTATTATTTTGTTTGAAAATTTTTTTGGCCCCCCCGAACTTGAATTCCTGGCTTCGCCCCTGCCCGAATGGGACCCACCCTGTTACCCTCTCCCTCCGTCACTGATTGAACCCATATCCATAACTATCATCCCCCGCCCGCCCGGGAACCCGTCTGATTGACACCTACTCAAATTCAAGAAAAAGGAGGAAAATCATTTCCACATTTTCTTCGAAAAGAGTATTTCCATATGCGTTCCGTTAACTTCTCCTAAATATAGAATGTAAACTAACTAATATCCTTTAGCCTTTAGGCAATCTTATGAAGTTAATAGGTAGGAGCATCCATGAGTAGTGAGTGCATTAATTCCATGTTTCCTTTTATTTGTAGGAGCAGACGCCCAAACTTTGTAATTAATTAAGAATAGGGCTTACCATATGTTACATATTATGTTGCCCTAACTAAACTTAGACTAATTAAGCGTAATTATTATTCATCAACTTTTTGAGAGAGTATAATGATTCTCAAAACTCTCCTAAAAGGGACTGAAGCAACCGTAATTGATTGCGTGCAATTGGCATGTTGTCCTATATAATAAGATCGTGCAAAATTGAGAGGAGTTATATTTTTCTGTCCAAAAACAGATTGATAACCGAGCTGCACTTGCTTGTATTGCTGGTGGGTTCTGAAGATGGGCGGGCAGTGGGTGAATGGTTGGTTCGTGAAGACGATATCGGGGTACGAAGCTGAAGGGGACTACGTGGAGATATCAAGTGAGGAGTACGCGGCTCTGTTCGCCAATCATCTGGAAGGTTACGAGAAGGACAGATTGCATGGGGAGAGGAAGGTGGAGATATGGCTGAAAGAGCATTGTGGCTTCGTCTACTACGTCATGGAGCTGGTGAAGAAGGCGGGCGGCGGCACGATGATGATGGTGCCGGCGGCGGAGTGGGGGCCGTCGTTTATGAGGGCCAAAGGTCTCTCTGCAGGTTCCACTGTTGGGTTTTGCTGGGATCCTCAAGGTTTCTTGATTTTTCATGTCGGCTATTCTTTTATTTGAATGTGGATTTTCTGTCGTTGGCCGTCCCCGAGGTTGGAATCGAGGGCGTAGTACTTAGATGTTATGATTTACTGTCGGTTAGTTGTTTACGTGGGACAATACAGTATTTTAGATTGATTTCTATTTTTGAGTTTTTGGGATTCTGTTGTTTTGGATCGTATCGTTTATTTCTGGGTTGTAATTCTGTTACATGTGTTCTAGGTTTGAGTCAATCCGTCCACCCTGCTACCTATGAGTAGGAATTATTGTTATTTAGCATGAGTTGATCCGTTTTTATAATTTTTTTTGCAATTTGTCCCTGATCACTCACCGCTAATGTTCGTAGCAGTATTTAGTTTTTTCCCCTCAACACAGAAGATTAAGATTGACTAGCCAATACCATCCATTTCTTCATTTATAATTTTATTGCGTATTGTCTCCTTATGTATTAATTCAATACATTCAAAATATTAGAGTAAATTGCAAGTTTTATCATTGGGATCAATATAAAAAAATTCACATTTGCTACTAAAATTATTTTATTTCATTCTTGATCAGTAAGAACATATCAATAGTTCACATTTGATCACTCTCCGTTAGTCTCCATTAATTTTTCTGATGTGGCAGTCAACTCGATATGATAGTTGACCAATAGATAAATGATGTGGCAATTAATTTTTTAATAAAAGTATAATTTGATAGTTCACAAAATTTCCAACTCATTATTGCAACTATTAAAAATAAAAAATAACTTCTAATCTAACATACGTTGCAACCCTCTCTGTCATCCTGGTCCCGTTGATGTATGTGCCTTTCCTGTTTTCCTATCTCTAAATTTGGTTGCCATGACCTGGCCTTCACCATCTCTAACTCCACCAACCACCTAATCAGCACTCTCTCCAGTCAATACTAGGGCCTCTTCGATGCCGCCGATCTGGGCAACTTCACGGTACTACCCGTACTGCCGTACATTAGCCGTCGAGTTCGACACCTTCAAGGATTTCGAGTTCGGAGACATTTAGCGACAACCATATTGGCATCAAAATTGACATCTTAAGGTCCAATGGTTACGTCGCCGCTGCCTATTACCCGGATGACTGTTAAAAAATGCAACAATTCAAGTTCAGATACTACCGCAGGCATTGCGCGATATTCAGCTTCAGTGGATTACTTTGACACTTTATCTTGCTTCTTGCAACGCGAGGAAATAAATGCACCACCAAACTGAACACACCAGCCAAAAGTAGAATGCCTAGTATCAATACAGCCGGCATAATCAGAGTCTGAATAGGCACGCAATGTGTCTGCCCCAGTCGACGGAAAGAGGATGCCCACGTCTTGTGTCCTCTTGAGATATCGCAGGAAATGATGAACTAGAGCAAGGTGATCTGTACAAGGATTAGTCATAAATTGACTCACGATCTGTACAACATAAGCAATATCGGGTTGAGTCACAAACAAATAGATCAAGCTTCCAACAATGCTCTGATATTGACTGCCATCTTGTAACATGTCTCATGAATCACGACCAAGTTTCAAATTGAGCTCCATCATCAAAGAAACTGGTTGACGGTCGCCAAAGTGATGATCATCAAGGAGGTCACCAATATACTTGCGTTGACTAAGAAGTATACCATTGGTGCTGCTAGTAACTTTGAGTCCCAGAAAGAAGCAAAATTCTCCAAGATCCTTAATGTGAAAAGCAGCACTCAGGCCGTTCTTCAGTTGTAGCATACCTGCAGAATCAGTGCCGAAAATCACCATATCGTCCACATATAATAAGATAATTACCAATCCCCGAGATGATGTCTTGGTAAATAAGGATGGATTATTCAAGCTTTGACAGAACCCATGCCTAGTATGGTGGCCTGAAACTTCTCAAACCACGTGCGTGGAGCCTGTTTCAACCCATATAAAGACCGATGCAGACGACATACTTGTCCTGGTTTCCCAATATTGTATCCCTATGGTTTTTCCATATAAATAATGTCTTCTAGATATCCATGAAGAAATGCATTCTTCACGTCCATCTAATATCAGAGCCAATTTTTCTGAGCAGCAACCGCAAGGGGTGGGAAATCGGTAAGGTATTTGTATCCCAATACCAAATACCGAAATCCCGAATACCTAATAACATCCTATAATCAACCCCAATCCCAATCCCTAAATAATTTCGGTATCCCAATCCCTAAATATTTCGGTATCCCAATCGGTACTTCGATATCTCAATCAGTTTTTTTGAATACAAAATTAATTAGGTTTGCAATTAATAATTGTATATATAAATTAGATTTTATTGTTTAATTTATGGCAAAGAGACTAAGCGAAGAGTCTTGAGTTTGTCCAGAGCTAGGATATGAAAGAGGAGAATGGATGAGAGTGACATCACAAATTCTTGTCATTGGTAATCCTTAATTTGACGAATTGGAGGTTGAGAGACGACTAATACTAGTGTTTGCCTTTCAGTGTTATGAAAATAACAAGGAGATTAGGTGAGGGACGAGAGTGAATTAATCTGGAAAGTCAAAATTCATATAGACGGGGACTTCTAATTTGTGGAAGAGTTATGAATCCAACGGTTATGTACTATATTTCATTAATTTTTAATTTTGGTATTTTTTGGGATTTCGATATATACCGATCTCAATCTCGTAATCCCGAATAGCGAATAGTACTCCAAAATGAATCACAATCCTTAAAAATAAGTCGGTATTCGGTAATACCAAATAGTGATAAATTCGGTACAATATTCGGTATATCCCAAATACCGATACCAAACTTCCAGCCCTAGCAACCGCAATCAAAGTAAGAACCGTAGTCATCTTCGCCATTGGGGCAAATGTTTCTCCATAATCGACTCCATAATCCTTAGTATAGCCCAAGGAAACCACCCGAGCTTTATGACACTCAATGGTGGCGTCAGGAATCATCTTAAGTGTGTATACCCAGCGGTAGCCAATGACAGATGTAGGCGGAGGTGGCCGATCAACTATAGTCTACGTATGATTAGCATCAAGGGCATCAAACTCAGCCTGCATCTCGCGTCCCGTAGAGGATTACCCTATGATTTCTTATAACTGGTCGAAATAAGAAAACTAGAAACCCCATGAAAAACAAAATCATTAAAATTGGGTGGAGGAACTCCCTTGGTGGCTCGAAGAGAGCGCCAAAGAGCTGCCAGCGTTGGGGCAGGGGAGGACTCGCTGGAGAAAGACCCAACGTTGTTGGAAGACGATGTCGAGGGCAGAGTCGGAGGGTCTGGGGGGAGCAGAACAGGCTCCGGAGTTGTAGCGAATTCTGGAGGATCCAGACTGTCATCATCATCGAAGATCATGTGCAGAGACAAGGACGGTCCAGGAAAGGACATGGAAGACTCGGAAGCAGTAGGGTAGTACATAAGATTTTCAAAAAAGACTACTGAACACGCAATATGAATACGCTGCGCAATAGAATCATAACAGAAATAGCCCTTATGCACATCACTGTAACCAAGAAAGACACATTTTGCAGTTTTAGAAGTCAATTTTGATACACTCACATTTAGGAAGAAGGAGAAAACATAGACCTGATAATTGATCAAGCAAACTGCAGTAGCAAAAGCTTTTGGCCAGAATCGCCCAGGAACATGAGAAACCAATAAAAGAGCACGCGTCAACTCCACAACATGCCATTTTTTCTCTCAACCAGACCGTTTTGATGAGATACGATAGGACAGGACTTTTGACTCAATATACCACGGGATCGACAAACTTCACAAAGAGGAAATGAGCTAAACTCGCCCCCAGTATTAGAACGAATGATTTTGATAGTGTGATTAAACAGGTTTGAATCATATTCAAAAACTCAACAACCACTTCGCAAAGTTCAGATTTATCCCAGGAAATACACCCAAGTTAATCAAGTAACATGATCAATAAACAGGAAAAAATATCGGTAGCCATAACGATATATCTCTGGAGAAGGTCCCCAAAGATCAGTATGAACAATATGGAAAGGATCAGTAATCTCAGTAGTACTAGAAGGAAAAGTAATGCTAATAATTTTGGCTTCTACACAACTAGTGCAAGCATGCTTATCCGACTGACGAATACTATGTTTGGCGAGCAAAGACTGACCAAACATCAAAGAAAGACGACCAGAATGCGGGTGCCCCAACCGAGCATGCCATAAATCTCACATATTATTCGAAAGACACAAAAAACAGGACTACTGACAGACCTAGCCAAAGGACTACTAACAGACGACGAATTTGAAAGTCCATGTAGCTCCTCCAAGTGAAAAATCTGGCCATGCTTACTCCCTCCTTCCGATCTGCCTCCCCGTCTTCAAATCCTGTATAACACAGTCAGTCATAACAAAGAGAACAAAACAACCTTACTCAGTAAGTTGACCAACAAAGACCAGGTTAGGAACTAATTTCGGCACATGTAACGTATTATGCAGTTCAACTAGATCATTAGTAACTTTCCCAATTCCTTGCACGTGGAGTGCTTCACCATTAGCGACTGTGAGAGACATGTCCCGTACATGTTTAACAGAATGTAAATCACATTTATCCCGGGTTATATTATTAAAGCAAGCCGAATCTAGTAACCATGGAGCATTAGAAAGTTTACTTGACCCATAGAGTGTGGCAAAGGTAGCGGAAAAGGCAGTAGGAAGGGAGTGTTAAAGTGCTTCAATCACCATGTGTTCTACAACCGCAGAAGTCATGCTAGAGCTCCTGCTAGCTCCTGCCGAGTTGCGATAAGCTGCTTTGGGGACAACCTTGGTGGGAAGTGTGACATACGCAGCACGGCCTGGGGCAGCTCCATGACGAGGTGGAGCTGAACGATCAGAAGGGGCCAAAGATGGAGCTGGACTCCCCCCATAGCGGGTTGCGTATTCAGTAGCTGGAATCCTTTGCTGAAATTGTGGACGCCCCACAACATAGGCGAAGTCATGATCGCTACGAGAATCACCTAGAGCAATAGTAGGGAGAATTTTCTCGCCCTCCCCAGGTCACATATATAGCTGGGATTGAGTCTGCAGCCTACTCAGTTCTAGAGAATGGTCTCGCCCAGTCGCACTCCCTAGGTCGCATAATAAAGAAGAGGAAAAAGAATCAAATAAATCATCTTTCATGACAATGTTCTCAT